GATGTAATGTGGTCAAATTATTACCCAATTCCATTCCTAGGTCTATTTACTAAACTATTGCAAACCAAGACCCATATGAAGTACATTCATGGATACATTATTCAAAATACCCAAAATTTTGAAAAAGTAAAAATATCCTTTGAACACAATAGATATATTGTTGTGGAATTTCCAAGCAAACAAATACTTCTCCTCAATGAAATGTAACTTATTCATGCTACATGGACTAACAAGAAGGAACTCAAACTTAATGTTGAAGAAGAAAAGGATATAATTATATTCATTTAAGTAAATTTCAAAAGTAGGCAAAACACAGCAAATTGAAACCTTGTATTCCCTAGGAAAACCCCTGTGATGCAAAAAAGAACACACAGGAAAGATGGCCCCAAGTTCAGGAAACAGAGTCCTCTGCAGAGAGAGGCGTGACACAGGGAACCTGCGGACTTGAAGTGGATGTATTCTATTTATTAAGGTGGGCGGTGTCTATGTGATATTTAAATAGTTTCTTTAAATTCTGCGTTTTGTGATAAACATTTTTTATTCTCCTCATTATTAGAATCTTCAAAAACATCAACAATATCGGACTGTTAGAATTAGGGGATAATTTGAAGATATACTGAATAATTTCAACTTTTCTTTTGGCTCAAAAGGAAACATTATTTTGCTTTAACAGTTCCATAAATCCTGTTGCCTAAATGAAACTGTTTTGCACTGATCATCAGATAGTCTTGTGATATTAAGTCTCAGTGTGAATTAGATTTGGTGCACTGCAAATCTAAGTGTGACTACACTGGTGTGTGACCAGATGTCTCATTTTCCTCAGGAGAGTTCAAGCTTCTGTCGTTTTTCCTGGCATAAAGAGTGACAGCATCCTGGATTCCTCTTAGCTTGCATACAATTTATATATTCAATCTTGAATTATCTATTTATGTGGCTAAGTAATTTGCCGAAAATGAAGCATTTTCTATCCACTGGCTAGGAAGAATTCTAAAATCCCATTGTCTGTTTTATATTTATAGAATTGTTCCTAAAACAAACTGACATTATCATTAGTGTTATTCAAGCTAATATATTACCAACAATTTAGAAATCACTATGTCTGAATATGTAACATATGCAACTGGATAAAACAGGACAGAATATTTCAACTGAAAAGTTGAAGCACTGTCTGAAGTGTTCAATTTTGTTTCCCGCTTTTGAGCTTATAGGTTATGTAGAGATGAAATTAGTTTTTTTCTAACACCTGCCTTTTTAAAAACTTCTTACAGATGCATCATTCAATTCATACTAACAAGAAAGGTTGTAAGGAAGCACTGTGCTGGACTTAAAACTGCACAACTATCCCTTAGCATTCGAAGCACTACAAGTAAGAAAACTGTTTAAAATCAGCCCAAATCTTCAGATTATCAGGTCTTAGAACTTTGAAATTTCTAATATTTCTTTCATTTAACAAAGCTTTTCAATTCTGAAGGAAATTGCAAACTTGAGAAGAATCACATTTAAATATGATTAAGATAACAAAGAATGAAGACTGTTCTAAAATAAAACCATGTAACTATAATACTAAAATTGCATTTAAGTTGCACTTAAAAAATACTAATAAATCCAACATCCAAGAAACCAAGCAATATAGAGAGATGGGAGAAGGGCTGCATTGGACTATGGTAATGAACTAAGCACATGCATTTTCCCTTCCCCAATCATATCTACTGCAATGGAAACATGTACAGCTCTGCCTATAGCTATAGTTATATGTCAATTTGTATCCATATCTATACTTAACTTATACAATAACTTATCTGCATCTCATCTTACAAGTCTGCCTGTTATCTATCTATGCATTATAGCACCTATGTCTACCTCTGTATCTGCATATTTCTATTTTCATATTTCTATACTATCTACTTTTTACATATATGTGTGTATATAACTAAAACCACAAATGCATTGGACAACATATTTTAAAAGCTCAGCATTTGGAATTATGGGAAGCAGGTGGGATTCAATATTAAGTAAAACCAAATGCAGAGGAAAGAAAACATAAAGATACAAGTAACAGAAGACATTTGTGAAAGCAGGAGCTCCTGATCCAGACAGAGTATGAGCAAATGCAGTTGCTGCACATTAATCCTGAATGCTGCTTTGCTTCATGCACAAAGGGCACACAGCTCACTTCCCTTCCTCTTGGCCCACATGTCAGGGTTCATGAACAACTTTAGCTCCTTCATTTTCCCATACCTGAGAAACTGAATCTAAGTGACCTTACTAGGGGTCCATTGGCTGGGTTGATCCTTTCTTCTTATAGCAACAAAATAATGAATGTGATGATACTTTATAAACTGTCATGTGTATGAAAGCATTGCTGTTGTCATCTGTCACCACCACAACTACCACTGCTGACTTCACCTCCACCACCACCATCACCTCCACCATTACCTCCACCTCTACCATCACCACCACCTCACCATCACCACCACCACCACCAGTGCCCATCTCTTTTATTCAACCAGCCAAGTGCACCTTGCTTCTCTTTCTTTGTCTGATGATGGAGATAAATGCGCTCCTTCAGACCTAGGCTGCTCTCACCTTTGGAATGTGGCTACTTCACTGCTGGACATTTATGACCATCAGTAAATGCCTTTGAGGCTCAAAAGACACTGATGATAAACATCAACCTCCATTTATTTTATTTCTTTCCATTAGATTTTATAATATTGAGAAGGTCAAGGGTCGTCACTATAGGTTCCATGGGAGTTAAAGGAAGAATTTAGTGGTCTGATAACTATCAGGCCATAGCCTCATGGGGAAGTAAAAGAAACTTCCCCAAAATCCGTGGGATTGAGCCCAACCTAATGTTTGTAGGCACGCTGGTTTGACTCTCTCTGCTGACTTCATAGCTCTGTTCCTCATAAGAGTAGTTACAAAGCAGGTGAAGCCAGCCCTCTAATTAAGCTTTTTGGTGTCATCATTAACAACTAAGACCATGAGCGGCATATAGGGAGCCCTCTATCACTACCTTGGCTGAATTAATTATTTTATATATATATATCCCCTTCCCTATGATATATCTGGTTTAAAATTATTTAATATATATTATATATATTATTCAAAATTATTTAATATATATATATATTTATATCCCCTTCCCTATGATATATCTGGTTCAAAATTTTTTTAAATGGTAACTTGTCCAACAGATTAGGTGCCTGAAACTAGGACAGTACCAAATTATAATATAGTTTCCTATACCAAATGTGATAAAGCTTAATTTATAATTTGGGCACAGTAAGAGGTTAACAACAATGACAAATAATATAGTAGGACAATATACAGATACACTGTATGATCATTTGTGTGACTGTTGTCTCTCTCAAAACATCTTATTATATATAATATTTTTGTATCAAAACTGACCCTGGGTAATTGAAACCAGAGATGAGGGGGACCACTGTACTCAGGGTGAGCCAAGGACTTATTCTCTCCCCATGATTTTGCTCACAGTCATGATTTCCACAACATCCTTCTGTTCCCTAATCAAACTCTACTGTTTCCATCATTGATAACACCATGCAATGCTGTCTGATATTTTACACTCAATCTATTTTAATTACTGTAAACCTGGTAGTGATAAAATAGGAATTTATGGATATTTTAATGACCATTTATTTAAATCATGATGTGGTAAAGAAGAACAAAAGAGCGATAGGTTAGTTATTAGTCTCCCAACTAGAATACATGAATTGACACTTTGCCTTGTCAACCTTTCTTGCTTTAAACAGGCATCTCATCATTTTCAGCTTACATAATTGCTACCAGCCTCGGTTCTCCTGAATTGCCATGACTCTATATACTTTATAGTTACTGTAGCACACATCAATATACACTGGACATTTTGGAGTAAAAAAATTGTGAAAACTATTTGCAAATATCTAAAATGAGAAACTGAAAATCTTCCATAAGGAAAAGTCATCCTTCTGGGTTGTTATCATGGAGTTTACATCTCAGATCTATGTGAGGCCACAATCTTTGCTGGTCACTAAATATCCTTACAGCAAAGGCTGCCAAGGTCACAGAAAATGTTCGTGATTTACTTTATAATGTTTGGATGATTTTCCAAGGTAAAAAAATGAGGGGCCAGCGGTCACTTAAAATGCTGTAAACCCTAGAATAATGATCACTTACAGACTATATTAAGTTTTATTGTAATAAATTTCTATTTTTGCTTTTCTACTTTAAAAGTTACAATAAAAGAATTTTATTTCTTGAAATTTAGTAGCCTATATTTATACAGCATATAAAACTTTATTAAGCCAAAAGGTAAAAACAGGAAATTGACGAACTGAATTCAAAATGCACATCTGGGCCTCATTCATCCATCAAAAACCACTTTCTAAAAAAGATCCATTTTATACTCTTTAATTCCTTACAGGTGTACGATTCTATGCCATGGTCATGATACTGCTGTGCAACTAATTTCAACTGATATTTGCTTCATATTTTTCCTTCAATAAGTAAACCAAAACTCAGAAAGTTTGAAGGACGAATGCATGACTAAGTGCTGACAATGCTTCTCGTAACTGTAATCATAAGAATGTGCTATCTATTATGAATGAGTAGATACTGTATTTCAGGCTCTCAGTTGAGGACTTCCCACCTAGTATCTCATTTGAACTCCACACTAAACCTAGGAAGGGGCTTTCATTTTTTAGTAGCTTAGGGAGTAAATATCAGATCTATTTTAACCCAGTCTGATTTCAGAGTCCGTAGATCCTTTGAATATTGGGGCTATATGTTTTAATTTCCAGAGCATATTTATAAACTATGTTGCCCTTCTTTCCCCCTCTCAGCTCACTGCCTTTGTTTCTCCTTTAGCTAGTAGTCCCAAGAAACAAAGCAAACCCTAACCCCACCATTAGAGTCAGGATTAGGAATTCATGCTTCCCCCCATTAGCAGTATTTATGGGCACAGGGAACAGGGTAGGCAAATTCCTCCAACTCACAAGATCCAGTGCAGCTGCCAGGATGGATGCATCAGGAATTGTGCCTGGTTCACAGCAGTTTAACAGAAATTGAAAACGTTTCATGCCTTGTCGGATTGCTCCAAGATTCACCACATTTTTGCTTTTTCCACCTTCTTGGTTAGAAGACAGATGGTCATCGAAACTGTGGCAGCCTGTAGGGAATTTTTGGTAATGGAGGCATGAAGGAGAGAGAGCATAATGGATCATAGATTTACATAGAGCTTCCAAGTTATCGCAATACATTTTCTGTGATTTTGGCTTGTGTGCTTTCTCTCCAACTCCACTTCCTCTCTCTCCATCCTAATATTGGTTTAGACACACCTATAACACATAATATGTGTACTTAAATAACAAGTCTGATCATTCTGTTGCCAGATTGCCTCTGTAGTATTGATAAGCACTCTTGCTATATTTAAAGTGATTCTTCCTGTAATTTTCCTGTCTCTATAGATTATGTAATTGCTGTAGAATTTTGGATGTTACATAAAGTGTTATCAAGGGACAATATCCTGATATCATGGTTACAGTGAAAAGAATCACTGCCTATTAGAGTTATGAAAGGTTGGCCACTAAATTCCAATATTTCCCAGCTTAGCTGTGTATGAGAGTTAAATGGGAAGCTACTGAATCTTATTCAGACCTTCAGAGGCAGAATCTCTGAAGGTGGAGTGTAAGAAGCTGTGCCTTGCACAATCTTATAGCTGGTACTGATGTAGTCAGCCTCACTACAGAGGGTTTAGAAACCACTGAATCGTATTCCTTTATTTTTTTTGTAGCTCAGTTGGCTGCAAATGAGAATGAGAATGAAGTTTATTAAAATAGTATGTCTGGTCCCATCATTGGAGACTTTGATTCTATAGGTCTGAGAGGTGAGTTTGTCTATGTATATTTTTAACAAACACTACATGTGATTTTGATGCAGAAAGTCTAAGGATCATACATTAGGGAAGAAGAATACAATGTATTATTTATCACTTTGATCTCAAATATTGGCTGACATCTTCATAGTTTCTAGTGTATATTTTTTCATATTTCTTGTGTAAGGTTATATAATATTGTGCAGTTCTAAAAACTAGCCCCAGCCCCTTTCACATGATTCTGAAAAGTACCTTAACACCTAAGAATATGCCCCTGATTGAGAGCACGACTTAGTTTCTGCTGATACCGTTTATTTGTGATATCACCTGCTTCTGCTTCTCAATGGGGAGTCAATGATCTGATTTCTAGAATGGCTTTCTTACCTCTCCTGTGGAGAATGCCTTCATCCCTCCCACCCACCATCACACCTTCTTCCCTGCTACTCAGCACAAACGTGACTCCCCCTTCACACAAATGTGTCTCCATGGTGGTCCTGGGACATATGGTGACAAATTTGTCCCTATAAATAAACAGGAATGTTTACAATTTTGGATTAAACATTAAATCCAGAGTTGGGATTACCCTTTAATAATTTACATTTATAGCATACAACAGGGTGTGTTTACACTTGTCAGCTTGAGTGTTCTACGAGCATGCATCACCCCAGGGGTGTCAGTGTGATGGCAGAGAAAGGGGACTCCCTGTCTTTTCGGGCCTCACATCCTTTGGCCAGTTAAAGCTAAAAGAACAGATTCCTTCAGACCTATCACAAGGTAAAAAATTATTTACACAAATAATAAAGTGGTATAAAAATAACTACCAATTCTGGCTTACAAATTGAAAAATGACTCATAATTACACTGAAGTATGTAGATGTGAAATGACATGATGTAGGAAGAAAATATAAAAAAATGTTTTATTATTATTTGCAAAGGGTGATGGATACCTGGGCTCATTGGAACATTCTCTTTACTCTTGTATGAAAATTTTCATTAGTATAAAATAGCTCAGAATATAATCAAAATATCATTATCAAAATATCCCATATTTCACTCCAAAAGGACATGTTTCATTTTCAAATACAAATATTCCACATTCAAAATACCATAGTCAACATCGTCAGGGTTTTTGTTGTTGTTGTTAGTACAGCATATTTTGTATCAATTGCAAAATGAAATAGCACAAGAAGAATCTGATCGTAGGAAAAAATCAGAAGACAGAATCTCAGATGATACAAAGAAGGCGAAGCTAAAAACTACAAGTGAGGAATGTTTCCTTGACAACTGTTTTCAAATAGCAGTCTTCAAAATGCTACACTATTGACTCACCAGGCATAGCAGAAGCTACCAGAACAGGTACCTACCTATTATTTTTCATATCTATGTGTCACTTTACTAACCATTTATATATAGGCCTTCAACAGATACACATATTAAAGGAAATATCTGTTAAAATTAATAACCTTAGTCTTTTAAACTTAAATTTAAAATAGATTCCAACATAATAAGAAAATTCATCAACGCTACTGTTACTATAATTTAAAAAATAAGATATTAATTGCCTTAAAATTGAAAGTGAATTAATAAGACAGGATGGCTGCTTAACATACTATATGTATTAACCAATTTATTAATAACAGGTGCCTTATTTTATTAAAGGAAGAATCAATAGTAAATGTTTCACTATTTTTTCAATATTTGTTTGACAATATGACTAATACTAAAAGAAATGCATTCAATATTACTAAAAGAAGGGTCATTTAGCTAGAACTTCGGAAACAATGTGGTTAAGACGTTTAATAAAGGAAGAAATGATCAAACCAATATTTCTCAACAAGAATGTATATCTTTTGTTTCACAGAATGACTTATATTTACTACATGTAAGAGAGTAATAGAAACCTATGAGTCCAGGACATAAGTAAAAGCTATTTATAGTAGAAAACTTCTACTGTATTGCTATAACATGGATAACAACATTACATATGCTATCAAATTCTAGGTAGGATAAATAATTATAGGAACTTCTGTAATTTCAGGGAAAAAACATTATTGAAAAAAGTTATATTCCTGCTTTTGATAGAGTTAGAAACAATTAGTGAATTATTATTTGGTCTAATGTCTAAAGTCAAATGTTATTTTTGTAATGAGTTAGGGAAATAGGGTGGCAAGTAAATTAGGTGGCTGAAAAACTGTAGCCACAAATTGTTAATTAATAAAAGTCAACTAGAAGTTTCCTAGGAGTTACATCTTTATATGTGTCCTATATTGTAAAAATACCAAAACTTGGACAAAAAAAGGCAAATATGTGCATCTCTATCTGTAGATCTTTACACAACTGAAAAGAAGAAAAGATTCAGAAATTCCTCCTGGGCAAGTGACTTAAAGTTAATCCAAAATTCCGTGCAAATCAACAATATGATTTGAAAACAGATAAGCAAGCTTAGATTTTGTTTGTGCACTTGCTATATCCCTATAGCTTAACAGTTACATGATTTACTCCACTGACTTAAAGTCAAATGTGGTATATTTCATTCCTTCTAAAACTGTACATTTTGTAAAGCACATCATCAAAATAGAATAGAGAGCAAATGGAATCAGAATAGTGATGAATCTAAAGACATTTCCATGTAAGTAAAACAAAAATCAATGATGCTTAACCAGCAAAGGCTAGATGAAGAGATAAATAAAATGAATTATAGATAAAATTAGTATAGTATGTGTATATAGGCAAGTGAGTGTGTGTGTGTGTGTGATTGTGGTTGTGTGATTGTGGTTGTGGCTAGGCTACAGATGCCGTAATTTGGACCTGTGAATAAAAATCAAGAATAAATATATTTTCAGAATATAAGGAAAGACTTTCTAACAATTAAACTGTCTAGTTCTAGAACAGATTGCTTTGTAAAGCAATCAACTCCCCCTCAGTGGAAGTGTTCAGAAGGTGGCTGGCCACCTGGCAGAGATTTAATGTGCAGAATTCCTAAGTAGATAGGTGGGTGGATCAAAGGATGTTTGAAGGTTCTTGAGAACTCAGATTCAAATAAAGAAAAGAACAGCCATAGAAGAGGTTGGTTGTTATTCTTTGTAAATCCAGTGCCTGCTAGGGAAAGAAGAACTTAAGACTTCCATAATTGTCTGCTAAACTAAACTGATTACCAAAAGAAAAACTATACATAGAAGTACAGTACACAATGGGAAAGAAATGAGTCATAAATCAATGGAAATTGAAAGTGGGCCACTTTATCTAATCAAATTTTTGTATTTGTGGTGAAAATTTACGTAATTTTCAGGCTGAATGACATTTACCAAGACGCTTGAAGAAACTCTCTTCTTCATCTCTTCCATTTTCCATTCCACTCCCTGGCCCGCCTTCAGAAAGCTTCACAGCACTGGTAAATTTGACCTGAGAAAAAAAGGAAAGTAAGCAGATAACTAACTTAAAAGGCAATTTTGGTGTTTATACTAGCACTAACCTTGAAAAATAAGTCATTTAGTATATGAAGGTTAGTGCAGTCCTTGTGACATTCACATCTGCTTAGCAAGTCATTATAGTTTATTCCCAGTTGCCCAACATAACTTCACATACAATGATAATTTGCAGAAGGAGCCTGGTCATGGATTGAAAGTGAAATACTCCAGCACTATGAATGTAACTTAGTGAACAGCTGAGATATTCTGGGAGTTTAACTCTATTAAAGGCCAAATTCAAATTCATGAACAACAAGCAGTATTGGTCCTTCAAAAAACTAGCACAGGGGGCCTCCCTGGGGATACTAGGGCTAAGTCTCAGCACTATGCAGCTGTCGCCAGCCACTGCAGCATGAGTTTGATCCCTGCCCAGGGAGCTGACCCACATTGCACAGCAGACCTCTCCTGTCTCACCCACTGCTCCCCTCAGCAGTGTATTTCAGTCAGTCTGCCTGTTCTGCTCCCCACTCTGTTTCTGGTGAATCCACTTACCTCTACCACACTTCTGGCCTACACCCCAATTCTTGTATGCATAAATAAATAAATCTTTTCTAAAAAAGCTTCAATCCACTAGAAAATTAAAAGCTATCCCATTGCTATCTCTGTATTATAATTTCACATAAAAATTTTTGTCACACTTCTTTTCCTTTCTATGATACCTACCACAAAGACATTTTAGTTTCCGTTGCTCTTTTAAGTTTCCTAAATTTGTTCAACTTGAAGAGTTTCTTCAACTTTTTCTTTTTGACCCCTCCAGGTGTTCAGCAATACTCAGACCTAACATTTTTCTATCCGCGACTCTGACATTCCTTACGTAAGTCATGTCCTGTTTACCTTGGAGCTCTGCCTGATGAAAGACAGGCGGTCCACGGAGCTGATGTCCAGGAGGTCCTCCACACCATCTGCCAGGCCAGAGAGGGAGGAGCGTTTCAGCCAGTTTCCTATTTGATAATTTTAAAAAAATTAGGCCATTATAACACTTGCTCCCAAATGGATTAAATAGAAATGTCAACCTGTCCCCAGCAAGCAATGAAAGTTACATGGCTTGATGTAACTAGAAGTGAAAACAAATTGTGGAAAGTATATGCTGTGAGTCAAAATTCAGTGTTAGACTATAAAATTACATGTGTGAGTAAGAACAGGAACAAAAGAACACAGGCCTCTTTAGTGAATAAAACCATAACCCATCCCGCTCTCTGGACAACTTTCATATGTTCCAGTAAGTCTTACTGACTCTGCCAACTCAGCATTTCTAAGATCTACTTCCTCCTGCCTATGTGATCACCAGCCAGGCCAAGGTGCCATCACTTATATTCATAGGACTAGGAAATCTTCCACTGGTTTCCCTCATACACTCATGTCTCCTCCAATGTGTTTTCCACACAATGATCTTTAATTTACTTAAAAAAAATTTTTTTTTAATTGTGCTAACAGTGGCTTACAACACTGTGATCTAGGGGAATAGGTTCATACCTCCTCAGATGTATGTTACCACATCACAGCCACCACCAAAGCACCAAGAGTCTTTACACTAGACCAATGGGTCCCTTCCCCCACTATCCTTCCCACTTCATTTGCGTTAATTCTGTAGTCATATTTCTCGAGTTTGTTTTGGCTTCATTTTGTTACTTGCTTTGTTTCGTTTCTCTATATTCTACATATGAGTGAAATTATCTGTCTTTCTTCTGATTTATTTAGCATCATTCTCTCTATTTCTATCCATGTTGTCACAGATGACAGGAGTTCATCTTTTTTATAGTCGATTAGCATTCCATAATGTACCCAAATTGTCAGGTATTTAGGTTGTTTCTATAACCTGGACAGTGTAAATAGCTGTGCCATGAATACAGGAGTGCCTAAAACCCTTTGAATGAGTGTGTTTACATTCTTTGGGTAGACAACTAGGAATGAAATTGCTGGGTCCTATGGCCTATCTATTTTTACTATTCCAGGAACTTTCACACTGTTTGACATGAAAAAAAATGACATCAATTAAAACCACAATGAGATACCACCTCACCCCAGAGAGAATGGCACATCTTCCAACAACTAGCAACAACAAATGTTGGCGAGGATGTGGAGAAAAAGGAACTCTCCTGCACTGCTGGTGGGAATGCAAACTAGTACAACCACTATGGAAAACTGTTTGGAGGTTCCTCAAACTGCTAAACATGGAGCTTCCCTACGACCCAGCAATCCCACTCCTAGGTATCTATCCAAAAGACACAAAACACTGATTGAAAAAGATACCTGTACCCCCATGTTTATTGCTGTTTTATTTACAATTGGAAAAACATGGAAGCAGCCCAAATGCCCAAAAGTAGATGACTGGATAAAAGAGATGTGGTACATATATACAATGGAATATTACTCAGCAACCAAAAAAAGAGAAACACATGTCTTTTGCAGCAACTTGGATGGAGCTGGAAAAGATCATGCTTAGTGAGATAAGCCAGAAAGAGAAAGAAAAATACTGGATGGTTTTACTCATAGCAGGAGTATAATGGACCAGGCGAGAAAATAACAAAAATAATGAACAACCATATACCAGAGACATTTTGTGGGGGTGGAGTGGGGAATGGGATCAAAAACGGGGGTGGGGAGAGGGAAATGCATGGGATTATGGTGATGGCACAAAGGTGACTTGGTGATGGGAAACCTGCGGGGATTACAATTGAGATGAAAAAAAAATGTACAAAATGATGTAAAAATAAACTCTTGTAATAAAAAAAAAATGTTTGACATCACTTTTCATCAAGGCAATGCAAGTCAGAACAACACAGAGAAAACAGCTCATGCCTGTAGAAATGGCCCAGATCAAACAAACCACAGAAACAACAAATGTTGGCAAGGATGTAGATTGAAAAGAACTCTCATACTATTGGTGGAATGTCTTGGTGGAAATGTGTAGACTGGTACAGTCCCTATGACCTTTTAGAAAAAGGTTACTTGCTTCTATCAGCCCCGTGTTCAGTTATAGGATGAAGAGTCAACTTGTCTCGAAAGGTCCCAGTGTTCTGATCTCTGTCCACCTACCATAGTCAAGCAAACATTCTTTTCCTTGTTTCAGATTTTCCATTTTCCTCCCTCTTCCCAATACCTGTGCACATCTTACTGCTACCACCTAGAGTGACTTCCTACCTCTTTCCTTTAAGCACCCTGAACATCTTAATACCACTTCCTCCAGCTGGCCTTCCCTGATTCCTCCCTCCATTTAAGTTAGATATCATCGTTGCATGCTTTCACAACACCATAGATATTTCCTTCATTAAGTACATAGGTTGCAAGTATACTCGGTTGCATGATTATCTGCTTTAGTAACTGTCACCTCTACTAGATTAGAAGTTCAACAAAGTCGTGTAAAATTTTTGCTCACCATTTAGTTCCTAATACTTAGCATAATACTTGTATACAGTTGAAACATGCAGTAGGTGCTGGAGAAATACCTGCTGAATGAAAGGATGGATATGAATGACTGAATGACTGAATGAGGAAGTCAGCCCAGTCCTTATGACTTGAAGGCTTTCTCTTTCTCTACCCTACGATGCATTGCTACTTAGTTGTGAATTGATTTGAGGACATGGAAAGTAGTAAGAGAACCCATAATTAAATACAGACATACTTTTACCTATGGGGAGTTTAAGCTTCTTCCGGAGGGAAATTCTGCGGGACCGGGAACGGGCACGCCTGTCAGATGTGGTCCCTGAGTGGGCAGTGGTGCACTCAGAAGTGTCCTGCTCAGACTGGCTGCTGGTGTCACTTGCTGCACTCTGGGATTTGAACATCTTGCGCCAGAAATCTTTCCGTCCCAGGTTTGCGCCTTGCATTTGTTCGTCGCTGTAAACGAGCAGAGGACAGGGTTCAACAGCTAACGCATATGGAATGCACTTAACTTCCTTTCATCCTCTTGCCACTGACATTAAGGCAAGTCATGCAGGGTGATTGTTGATGAACTGGGAGTTCGAAAGAGAAGGGGTGGAAGGAGCGAGACCAAGGAGGCTCTCTGAGCTCTTCCTCAGATGTATCATGTCTCAGCTGTCAAATGGAAGTGATCGCTTCTTTAAATATTAATAAAAAGACTAAATATTATTGCAGGCATTCCTCTGCAATGTAAGTCATACTAACAGAAGCACTTACAGTGTCAGTAAATATTAACTACCTTTTTGTTCCCTTTTCCTGAGGCATGTGCAGTACTGTATCTTACTGTCTACCACCATCCCAGTATAGTATGATGCTTGGCACAAAATAAACTCCAAAAAATAATTGAGTGAATAAATAAGTAAATATATAAATACATAATTGGATAAATAAAATACAATAACCACACCCAGGGGTTACACCACCCCACAATTGCTCATTTAACTATATTTATAGTGTGGGATTATTTCACTTTCTTAAGTCAAATAAATTCAATTAAGACTTCAAAGTAAAAAAAATAAAAATCACACCAACTCACTAAGACAAGTGGGAAACTGTCAAGGGTAATTTTTCTTAATTAAACTTTTTTATTTTCTTACATAGCTGTTTATTTTTGAACTATATTTAATTTCCCCCCTCAGGTATAGTCCCAAAGGGGTGTTTGGTTAGAGCATTCCAGAGGAGAAAGAGCAGTGGCCAATAATGTACAGAATTTAACCTCACTATGAATAATTTTTAAAAGGCCCATTGAAATGAGAGTCCTGTTTTCATTTATTAAATTAACCAAGATTCAAAGAGAAATGAGAGAAAGCAACTGTACCATCCTGCCAATTGGAGGATAATGAGGAGATAAAGTAATTCAACTTTCTAGAAAGTAATTTAGTTGTAAGTTTTCCAAAGCCCCCTATTTGTATCTAAAACAATGACAGAGAAATACAGTTTCCAGGCAGTTACCCAAAGGAAATATAATGGACCCACACACTGAGAAGTTGATGCAAGGGGGTAGAAAGCTCACTGGGTTATGGATCAACTGGGTCAACACTGAAAACCTGGGGATCATCCACATGCCCATATTGAAGTTGTGGAGTTTGATACTTCCATTTTAGTTCTCTTTTTTAACTCAGGAGTGTCCCTGTCATGCAAGGTCTTTGTAGTTCCAAGTAAATTTCGTGATTTGAAAAATAAAAATAAAGTGATAGCAGAGAACACCGCAATGGATAGATTAGGACAAGACGCAGATGGAATGGGCTGTTCTGTTTCAGCTCAAACTGGGCTCACGGCCTTTATCTTGCGTATTGTTACAAAACCCTCATTGAGTACTTGACAGTCATTCATGCACTTATTTTTAAAAAGTAATCGGTGACGGGCCCTCCCTGGTGGCGCAGCGGGTTAAAGCACTGCACTAAGAAGCTGAAACCACTTCCGCATGAGTTCGATCCCCGCCTGCCCCGGAGGTGACTACATGGTGTGGCAGACCTCTCCTGACCCGCCCGCTGCTCCCCTCAGCAGTGTACTTCGTTGATCTGTCTGTTCTGCTCCCCACTCTGTCTCTGGTGAAGTCTTTCGCCACCCCTGAGTCTCTGGCCTGTACCCCCGTTCTGTATGCACAAATAAATAAATCTTTAAAAAAAAATAATAATCAGTGACTTTGAGTGTAGACAACATCCTACCCCATCTGTTGCTGATCATGACTTTTCATGATCAGCAGGTGTGTGTGAAGGGCTTAAGTGGGGAGGAGACCAGCAATGGGAAATGCAGCGAGGGAGGCCTCTTGGAGGTCTGAGGCTGGTCTGTGGGATCTGGACCTGAGAATTAGGGGCAATGGGAATGAGCAGTAAGGGGCAGAAACAAAGCAAAACTGAAAGGAAAGAAAAAAAAACAAGCAAACAAATAGAGGAGAAAAATGGAATTTCTTTCAGTGGGCAGCGCTCAGCCCACTGCTACTTACTGCTCCGGAGTCTGGGAGGGCCGGCCGGACATGAAGCTGCGGCACTCCTCAGGTGCAGCGGACACCTGGCCTTTGTCCACGATGCTTCCTGCCTCCGACCTAGCAAACAGCCATCCGAGCAGTCAAAATACATCAGCAGTACCAACTTAGGAAACTTCCTACAGCCAAAGACTGTTCTAGACAAGCAACATGGTTTATATATAGTCTATGTCACTGCAAATCTACGTGGCATGGAATTTAAATCCTACATTTGACTTAAGACCTAGCCACCTCAGTGCCTAAAAATATCAGCATCATTAAAAATGGAGCTTCCATATGGCCCAACAATCCCACTCTTAGGTATCTACCAAAAAGACACAAAAACACTGATTCAAAGACACCTGCACCCCTATGTTTATTGCTGCTTTATTTACAATAGAAAAGAGATGCAATCAACCCAAATGCCCAAAAATGGACGACTGGATTAAAAAAAATGTGGTACATATACACCATGGAATATTACTCAGCAACCAAATAAAATAAACACATGCTTTTTGCAGCAACATGCATGGAGCTGGAAGGGATCATGCTTAGTGAAATAGGCCAGAAAAAAAAGGAAAATACTGGATGGTTTCACTCATAGCAGGAGCGTAAAGGACTCGGGGCGAGGGGGGGGGCGGATAATAATGAACAGCTATATACTGGAGGTATTTTACAGGGGTGAAGAGGAGAAGGGGATAAAAAATGGGGGGGGGACAGTGCAAGGGATTATGGTGATGGCACACAGGTGATTTGGGAAGTTCAGGGGGATTTCAGCAGAGATGAAAAAAAGGCACAAAATGATGGAAAAATAAACTATCACATTGTTTTAAAAATATTAGCATCATTGCAAACAGATTCATTCACAACAATCAGGAATTTATTTTTTTAATTTTCTTTTATTCTTCTAAGTGGCATTTCTTGTTGAATAAGCAGAATAAATTTAAATTACTAGCAGGGAAATCAGTAGGGTAGTGCTCTTCTCCAGACAATATGGACTCAGTAGTTGCTTTTCCTTTGTGGATAAAAATGTAAATTATCGATGGGTCAAACACTTCACGACATACACTTTAGCGACATCTTTAAAGACAGAGCACCCAACGCCACAATAGTGAAGGCAAAGATAAATAGATGGG